TATATATATACATACATATATACATATACATGTATATGTATATATGTATGTATATATGTATATATGGCATGTGCAAAAGAATATATGTGTCTATTATGAGTTAATGGCAGGCACATCCTCAGTGTTTTGAGCATGACTTCCCAGTCTTGTATTTGGGTTCATAAATTTTATATTGAATACTGAGGACAAAGTAAGAGTTCATTTTGGCTCTCAAACTTTAAATGACATTTTAATACTATCTGTAGGTTCAGAGAAATTTCATAAATTATATTGACTCAGTAAATGGCTTTCTTTTTCCAAATGAATTGAATATAATGACATATATTTTTTCTTGGCAAAAATAATAAGGATAATAACTTCTGGCTAAAAATGAATAGAAGAATGCTACATATTCTTCAGATTAAGCCTGAGATCTGAAATGCAGTTTCCTTTAAGCTTTGAATTCATCCTTTCTGGTTTTTGAAATTCCCTTTAGATAATTAATATGCTAAAAATTGAAAGCATTTATTTTGAGTGTCAATGGGGCAAAAAAGGAGAAACATCTGTAATAAAAATAAAATTAAAATAAAAAAAAGAAAGCATTTATTTTATATTCTCTTAATTTTTTCTTTAATTTTAATAATTTTATTGTTTTCCTTAATAAAATCAATAGTCACTTTAAAAAGTGTTCCACAAAAAAGACATATAAAGAAAAATATTTACCACTCAAACATAACTACTTTTTGTTATATGACATTTTTTTCTTTCTTGAGGTACATATATTTTAAATAATTGATATCAAAGTTTTGTACTTTGGTTTCAAAGTGTTTTGATACAATTTATAACCTGCAGTTGTATTAGGAAAGATATTACTTTATTAATACAAAGTAGTCTCCAACAATAAAAACTAAATAAAACTAATCAATTAAAAGCCACAATAAAAAAACTGCAAATGACATATGGAAGATTCTGGCATAAAGTATTAGTTTTCATCTCTAAAAGTCAAAAATTGTATTCTTTAAAATAAATATTACTACTCACCAAGATATGTTATTTGAGTTTCTTAGCCCCTGAACTACATAGCAATATCCCCTCCTGAAATTTGCTACCCACAGATTCACTTCAGGTGGTTCTTGTATGGAAGGGTCCATGGGGTCAATATTTTAATGCCTCCACTTTGGAGATAGTGGCTCAAAGACCTGGAGTCCCAGAGCCTGACAATGGTTCTTGCTAGAGTTTGCCCATTCAGTAAGGTAACATACAGATAGTGATTACTCAACATATTGCTGTTTGCACTACAAAAGACCTGAATAGCCTCAGCAATCTTGAGAATGAAGAATAAATTTAGAGGTATCATATTAACTGATATTAAATTATACTACAAGGCCATAGTAATCAAAACAGCATGGTATCATCACAGGAACAGACATGTGGAACAGAACAGAGAGCAAAGAAATAAACTCACCCCTTTGTGGTCAATTAATATTTGACAAAGGAGGCCAGAACATACAATGGGGTAAAGACAGTTTCTTCAATAAATGGTGTTGGGACCCTGGCCAGGTGCCTCAGTTGGTTGGAGCATCATCCCATACACCAAAAAGTTGCAGATTTGATTCCTGGTCAGGACACACACCTAGGTTCCAGGTTCAATCGCCAGTTGGGGTGTGTATAGGAGGCAACAGATCAATGTTTCTTTCTCACATCAATGTTTCTTTCTGTCTGTCTCCCTTCCTTTCTCTCTAAAAGTCAATAAAAACATAGCCTCAGGCCCAGCCGGTGTGGCTCAGTGGTTGAGCATGGACCCATGCACTTAGAGGTCACTGGTTCAATTTCTGGTCAGGGTACATGCCCAGTTTGTGGGCCCGATCCCCAGTAGGGGGCATGCAGGAAGCAGCCAATCGATGATCTCTCTCATCGATGTTTCTATCTCTCTCTCCTTCTCCCTTCCTCTCTAAAACCAATAAAAGAAAAAAAAATTAAAAAACATATTCTCAGGTGACTAATAAATAAATAAATGGTTTTGGGAAAATTGGACAGAGATGCAAAAAATGAAACTAGATAACCAACTCACACAATGCATAAGAATAAGCTCAAAATGGATTCAAAACTCAAATATAAGTCATGAAACCATAAAAATCCAAGAAGAAAACATAGGCAGCAAAATTTCAAACATTTCTCACAGCACTATTTTTGCCAATTTGTCTCCTTAGGCAAGAAAAACGAAGGGAAAAATAAACAAATGGGACTACATCAAATTAAAAGGCTTTTGCACAGCAAAAGAAACCATCCCCAAAATGAAAGGAGACCAGTGAATGGGAGAACGTATTTTCCAATGATACATCTGATAAGAGGTCAATTTCCAAAATATATAAAGAACTTAAACAATTCAACAGCAAGAAGACAACCCAACTAAGAAATGGGCAAGGACCTGAATAGACACTTCTCCAAAGAGGACATACAGATGGCCAACAGACATATGAAAACATGCTCACAGTCACTAATCATTAGAGAGATGCAAATTAAAACCACAATGAGATATCACCTCATGCCTGTCAGAATGTCTATTATTAATAAATCAACAAGCAACAAGTGCTGGAGAGGATGTGGAGAAAAGGGAACCCTCATGGACTGCTGGTGGGAATGGAGACTGGTACAGCCACTGAGGAAAACAGTATGGAATATTCTCAAAAAATTAAAAATGGAACTTTGTTTTGACTCAACAATCCCACTTCTGGGAATATATCCTAAGAAACCTGAAACACCAATTTGAAAGAATAGATGCACCCCTATGTTCATTGCAGCTCTGTTTATAATAGCCAAGATCTGAAAACAGCTCAAGTACCCATCAGTAGATGAGTGGATAAAAAACCTGTGGTTGCCCTGACCAGTTTGGCTCAGCAGTTACAGCATCAGCCTATGAACCAAAGGGTTGCAGGTTCAATCCCTGGCCTTGGTCTGGGTCAGGCAGGAGGCAACCAATTGATGTGTCTCTCTCACATCGATGTTTCTCTCTTCTCTCTTCTTCCCCCCCCCCCCCCCGTCTAAAAATCAATGGAAAAATATCCTCAAGTAAAGATTAATTAAAAAAATAAAAGCTGTGGTACATTTACACAATGGGATACTATTTGGCCATAAAAAATAAGGAAATCTTACCTTTTGCAACAGCATGGATGGACCTGGAGAGTATTAAGCTAAGTCAGAGAAAAACAAATACCAAATTATCTCACTTATATGTGGAATCTAATGAACAAAATAAACTGCGAACAAAATAGAAACAGAGGCCTGGATACATGGACAGATTGACAGCTGTCAAAGGGGAGGGGGAGTTGGGGGACTGGATCAGAGCAGGTGAAGGAGCCCAGCTGGTGTGGCTCAGTTGGTTGAGCTTGATTCCACTCACCAAGAGGTCCCTGGTTCAATTCCCAGTAAGAGCACATGCCCTGGTTGCAGGCTCAGTGCCCAGTAGGGGGTGTGCAGGACGCAGCCAATCAATGTTTGATCAATGCTTTTCTCTCATTCATGTTTCTACCTCTCTATATATAATAAAAACATATTTTAAAGAAAAAGAAAGAAAGGTGAAGGGACTAAGCATATATACAATGTGTGATAACCAGAGAAAAAGGCGGGCAGGGGTAGGTGGAGGTGGGCAAAGGGTAGTGAAATGGGGATGGAAAGAGACTTTGCCTTGAGGGAGGGGTCCACGATGCAGCGGGTAAATAATGTTGTTGAATTGTACAGTTGAATCCCGTATGGTTTTGCGAACCAATGTCATCCCAATGAATTCAATTAAAAAACTGCTGTTTGCAGACACACACACACACAGTTGAAGTCTTCTTTGGCATATTGCACTGATGGAAATAATAAGAGGATGGTTTCGTAGGAAGGAGGTCGGAGCTGAGCCTTACTACAGCCAGTACCTGTAAATATCTGGTGGCTGAATTGAACCAGATGTTATCTGTTCTTTTCATTAATATAAACATAAACAGCATCAACGTAGACATGGTCCTTTCCTACCAACATTCTGCTCACCATCTTAAGTTTTAAATTCATCTTCTAAGACCTGGCACTTGAAGAAGCATTCTCCCACTGTTTCACTGATTTTGCAGCCCGAGTAAGTTACACATTCTCTGAGCTGACTTTTGTCGTCAAAACAAACAAACAAAAACATGGGCTTTTGGGGCTAAGGTGGTAACAGATATAGGTAAGATTCCACAAGGTGCCTAACCTAGCATACTGTTAGGCTGGAAGCTGCGCAGAATCGTCAATTCTGAATGCACGGAGGACTTTATGAAAGTTGCCTCCTCCTAGCTGTGAGGCCTTGGACATAACATGTGAAGAGTCAAGAATATGGAACACTACCAGCAGGACTAGCCGGCACCTTAGAGCGGAGCGGGACTAACCTCAGCCTCACAAAGAAGCGTAGCTGCTAAGGCCGCGGCTTTCCCTTTAAGCAACTGCGGGCCCGGCCCGCCCCACTGACAAGAAACGCCCCGCCCAGCAGGCCCGCCCCTCCGAGCAGGCCCGCCCCTCCGAGCAGGCCCGCCCCACCGAGCAGGCCCGCCCCGCCGAGCAGGCCCGCCCCGCCGAGGAGGAACGCCCGGCCGAGCAGGCCCGCCCCGCCGAGGAGGAACGCCCCGCCGAGCAGGCCCGCCCCGCCGAGCAGGCCCGCCCCGCCGAGGAGGAACGCCCCGCCGAGGAGGAACGCCCCGCCGAGCAGGCCCGCCCGGCCGAGCAGGCCCGCCCCGCCGAGGAGGAACGCCCCGCCGAGGAGGCCCGCCCCGCCGAGGAGGAACGCCCCGCCGAGCCCCGCCGAGCAGGCCCGCCCCGCCGAGGAGGAACGCCCCGCCGAGGAGGAACGCCCCGCCGAGCAGGCCCGCCCCGCCGAGGAGGAACGCCCCGCCGAGCCCCGCCGAGCAGGCCCGCCCCGCCGAGGAGGAACGCCCCACAGAGGAGGAACGCCCCGCCGAGCAGGCCCGCCCCGCCGAGCAGGCCCGCCCCGCCGAGGAGGAACGCCCCACAGAGGGCCGGAAGTCAATGAGCGTTGCCACGAAGTCAGATTCCTCCGCCGATTGCGGCGCTTGGTTCCGCGGCGTCGCTCGCGTCTACCCAAGATTTCTTCCTCTCCCTCCCGCCCGCTTCAGGCCTGCTGGCTGTCGCTTCTCCGGCCAGTAGTCACGGCGTCCCTGCCCCGTCGGCATTCGGCCTATGCCCGGCCTGGTCTGCTAGACCGCATCGCGCCGCCGCCGGACCTCCCCTGTCCCGACACGCACTTCCGCTGACGCGTCGGCAGGACGGAGCCGGAGGGGAGCGCGGCGGGCGGTGATGGATGCGCTAGCGGTCATGATGCAGGACCTCCTGAGCCAGAACCATGCCCTGCGCAGGGAGAACAACGAGCTCATGGACCAGGTGCGGCGACTTCTCTGCGAGAAAGCCAACCTGCTAGCCCAGGTGCGTCCGCCGGCTTGCCCCGTGGCTTTTCCCGAAACGTTTAAAGGCGACTCCGCCCGGCTTCCCGAATTTTTGATCCAAGCGGCCTCTTACATGAGGTTCTTCGAGGCCAGATTCTCCAACGACACCTTAAAGGTGGCATTCTTAATCAGCCGCCTCTCTGGGGCGGCAGAGGAGTGGGTAGTCCCCTATATCGAGAGGGAGAGCCCCATCCTAGCTCATTACGAGGGCTTCGTGGACGCGCTGAAGCGGGCCTTTGGCAGAAATGGGTAGAAAACCACCGGGCTTAGACCCTTCGTGCCGGGAGTGACAGCCACGAGCCTCTGCGCTCCCCACCAACCCGGCCGTCCTTGGTTTTGATTCCCCAAGAACTCTCCAGCTCCCAGCTACCTGGCCCCGAGCCTTGCTATAAAGCTTGGCCGCTGCCTGTTCTTGCCACCGCACTACCTTTGCACTTTGCTCAGCAACATAGCCACTGGCTGGAGAACCTTTTAGAAATTAAATGGGCCACCCAGGATCACGTCCCTACCACCTGCCAACTCTGAAGACTGACTGTTGCTGACCGCCTTTGAAAATCGGGGCCAACCTAGGAAGTGCCTCAGTTTGCCACAATCCGTGAACGCTGATATGGATCGCTCAGGCCTGGAGAGTTTCCGTGATTAGTGTTCCTGGCAGCCAGATTTTGACATTTCTACCCCATGACAGGCCCTAACCCGTACCAAGGAAGGGGAACAGGGTTCACTTCCTGGACTGCTTTTGTGAACTGATGCACCCAAAGAATCCACTGTTCCTCGCACTGCTCTCAGAGTCTACCCTAGGAGTGTCTTTTTATTGACAAGTGATTCCATTTTAAATCCAAAATTGAGGGGCACTGATAAAGGACAGATTAGTAGAGAGGCAGGTGAACTTAAGAAGGGATACATGTGATCCGGCTGGTGTGGCCCAGCGGTTGAGCGTTGACCCATGCACCAAGAGGTTGCTGATTCCATTCCCTGTCAGGACACATGCCCAGGTTGTGAGCCCCATCCCCAGTTGGGGGCGTGCAGGAGGTAGTCAGTGTTCTCTCTCATCAGTGTTTCTCTCCCTCTCACTTCCTCTCTCTCAAATAAATAAAGGAAAAAAAAATTTTTTTTAAAGAAGGGGTACATGTGAAAAATAATTGCACACTTGTCTGGTTTCTCTTGAGTTTGGCTTGTATGGCTTTATTTGATGGGTATTTTGTGATGTGCTAGAAAATCAGGCAACTTTTCATATATTTAAAATTAGGGAATGCACTCACTGGAGCCAAATAAGCATAATTTGTTATAATGCTTTTGCTTTTATTTCCCTCTCTGATGCAAGTTGATCTGACTGCCTTATGTAAACGAAGATTCATCTAACATCTTTATTTTGGAATCTTAATTTCTTGCCAGTTAATGGAAGGTAATTACCTAGCAGAGAAGGTAACTACCTATATAGTACAAATTGCAGATAACTATTAATTTAAGTAAAATAAAATCTTTATCTTCCCTAGATCTTTTCAAGTTAGCAAGTTCTCTACAGTGATTCTGCAGCTTTTGGAGCATCAGCATCACCTGAGGGGCTTATTAAAAACAGATTGCCTGTTGGCCTGAGCATTGTTCCATATACCAAGGTTGTGGGTTCGATTCCAGGTCAGGTTGCATATGAGACTACCAATTGATATTTCTCTCTCACATTGATGTTTCTCTCTCCTTTCTTCTCTCAAAATCAGTAAATATATCTTCAAATAAGGATTAAAAAAAAAAAAAAAAGACAGAGTGCCAAGCACTATCTTCAGAGTTTCTGATTGACCAGGTCTGGGTTGGGATCTAAGAATTTGCATTTCTAACTAAAGTTCCTAGATGATGCTATTGCTGTTGGTGTAAAGGTAAAGCAAATTATAAATTAGAAAAATATTCCATTCTCCCTGGTGCAAAGAAAAGAGAAAGCACTTATTTTAGGAAACTTACCATTATAGGCTCTTTCTCTGCCTCTTGAAATGTATGCAACCCTTTTTAAAGGCAAAATAAGCCTCTTGCCTATTTTACAATCCAGGAATTTTTCTTAGAAATGGGAACTTTGAGCCATCACTTTGAAATGTAATCATCAAGGAAAATAGCACCTCTGTCTCCTGGTTTCCTGGGAGTATAGAGCCTAACTTCAGCAGGTTCCTGGCTCGAAATTGCAAACATACCTTGTATGACAAATGTATTTTTCCTTTGTATGAAGGCAATGAGTCCTTCTTGAGAATTAGTAGAGAAATAGTTACTTATCTTGAGAACATGGATATAATGTATTTCATCAGCTTGGCTCCATAGGTGAGATTCCTTTCTGTCTTGGCTCTTTTGTGCTTTACCTGTGATAGGTGCATCACAGTCTGGTTTAATGTTTATTCCATAGTAGAACTGTTTTCTTTCTCTCATCCATCTTTGTGGAGAAGTTTTTTTTAGGTTGATAAGAAATTTTATTGTTAATTCTATTTCCCCAACATGGACCAGGTTCACATTTTGAGAATTACTACACAGCATGTGACCTGGGTCCCAAGGCTAAGGCGTCTAGATTCCATTCTTATGTAGGCCTCGGTTAAGGCGACTAACTCCATTTTTATCATCAATGGACCTTCCTCAATATTTTTCCAATAAAAGGTTAATTACCCCTAGAAGTAAAGAAATTTTGCCTAAGCTTATAGTTGCCCCACATGTTGGGAGGCATTTGCAGGCATTTGCAGGTACTCGTGAGCCCAGTGAATAATGCTAATTTTGACTTCTGTTACCACTGTCACACCCACTATTGTACTGGTCCTCTGGGAGGTGGGGGGGCAAAAGGAGGATAGGGCTTCTACCTTCAAAATGGACGAGTGAGAAGAATCGTGGTTGCTGATCTGAGGGGAGGCTATGCCCTCCGCAGCCCGCCGGCAAGAATAAAGTGCTCCTTTACAATTTGGCTGTGCGTCTCTGGTTATCTCACTGACACATTATAACACAAGAACCTAAGTGTAGAACTTAAATTTCTCCCTAGAATTTTACCTTGTTGGTTTCACCCTGTTCTGATAACCTGTTGAAATCTTTCTGATTCTTTGAATTCTTGAATTTTAACTCTACCATCCTCCCTACTTTATAGCATCTACAAAATTGATAAACTTGTTTTATGTTTTCCAAATCATTAGTAAGTTCTGAAAAGAGGCAGCAAGGGTCCCTGTAACATGTGGTAATTACTACATTATTAGTCATCAGACAACTCTATTGCATGTAATGTGCTATATACTAAGGAGACAGCTATGAAAAAGACAATTTTGACTCAAGTAGCGTACAACTGGAAAGACAAATGGACCAATGCAGGACTGCAGTATGGCAGTAGGAAGTATGCCTTCATTAGCACAGCGGAAGAATGCCCCTAATCTCAACCTTGGAGGGTGTTATGGACTAAATGTTTGTGTCCCTCTAGAATTCATCTTGAATCCTAACTCCCCATGTGCTGGTATTAGGTGGAGCATTGGGAAGGTAATTAAGGCACAAGGGTTGAGCCCTCTTAAATAGTATTAGAGCCCTTATAAGAAGAGATACAAAAGCATACTTCTCTCCTCTCTCCTCCATGTGAGGGTATGAGAAGATAGCCATCTCTAAACCAGGAAGCAGGCCCTAATCAGACCCAGGATCTGCAGGCACCTTGATCTTGGACTTCCCAACCTCTAGAGCTGTCAGAAACAAACATTTATTCTTTAAGCCACCCAGTCTATGGTATTTGTTGTAGCAGCCCAAACTGACTACAACAGAAATGGCTTCCTAAGAGAATTGTCAAAACTGATATAAGGATGAGAAAGTAAACAATGCTGCCCTGGTCGGTTTGGCTCAGCAGTTAGAGCGTCGGCCTGCGGTCCTGAGAGACCCGGGTTCGGTTCCCGCTAAGGGCATGTACCTCAGTTGCAGTTTGTCCCTGGCCCTGGTCGGTTGTGCTGGTGGCAGCCACTCGATGTGTTCCTTTCACATCGATGTTTCTCTCTCTCTCTATTCCTCTCTCTCCCTCCCACTCTACCTGAACAAAAAAATGGAAAAATGTCCTCGGGTGAGGATAAAAAAAGAACATGAGCCCTGGCCAGGATGCTTTGTTGATTGGAGCATCATCCTGTGCACCAAAAAGGTTATGGGTTCATTCCTAGTCAGGGCATATACCTAGTTTACAGGTTTGATCCCCAGTCAGGGAGCTTACAGGAGGCAACTGATTTTCTGATTGATGTTTTTCTCTCTCTTTCTCCCTTCCTTTCTCTAAAAAAATAAATTAATTAATTAAAAAAAAAACATGGAAAGATCATAGTAATCATGATTCCTAATTCAAATATTGAATTCAATTTTTATATTTGCCAAAATGAGCTACATAGCTTTTAAGCCATAAGTATCCCTATATTTGAATATTATACAACTTTTATTCAATTATTCATAAGAAGCCTAAAAGAGCTATGAGGTGGTGTTGATAAAAAGGACAATATTATAAATTATAGGCCTCAACTAACTTCACTTGTTAGGAAAACAAATAATAACCAAGGGACTAAGTGTAGTAACATAAGATATGAAGTACTACATTGGGTTAACATTAACATGCAAAGGGAAAGTACTTATTATAATGGCTATGAAACATCAAAAAGATGACGGATTGAAATCATTGGGAATGCCTCCTTGAAATGAAGGAATTTAGTAGGACCATAAACAGTATTTGAAATTGGGTGAGGCTGAGTTAAAAGAAGGTGGGTGGAGGTAAACATATTTAAACATACCTCTCTTTTAGACATTCATTGCAACAGGTTCTGGACAACCTGAGCAAATGTTCCATCATTCTCTGAGTTTTCCTGATATGCTCTCTATATATGTCTTCCTTGTGGAACTATGTTTGGCACTCAGAGTAGTAAACTATAATGAGGTTAGAATTAATCTTGATTGTAGAATCAATTACTATTAACTAACAATAGTACAAAGGGGCTTGAGACTACTAATAGCATCAAAGAAGTATATCAGTACCAAGATATGAAAAGTGAAAAATGTGAAACAATTTTGAAATACATTGTTTAGGAGTATAAGAATTTTTTTTTTTTTGCTTCAAATTAATCATTCTTTGCTTTATAACATACTCCTGTAATTACTCTCATTTAATGTAACTAAAACTTAGAAATGTATCACTTTAAATACAATCAGTGTTCAATTATCAATTAATTTAAAAGTCTTATTTTTAATATAAAAATTAACACTGCTCATATCCCTAATACATGACTGATTAAAATCGGTAACCAGATGTTTGGAAAGCTGCCTTATTGTTGAATTAAATTATAATTAAGTGCACCCATCTGCAATTGCAAAAATTGTCATTTTTAAGTGTTCATATTTTCATAATGCCATTTAAAATATTCCAGTGTATCTCACCATTGCATATTAAAGTATGTAGAGCAACAGGAAATTATTGTGAGTTTTATCTAGGCTCCACTAACTATAAATTGGCTTTTAAAAAGCAGATGGAGACCAGCTGGTATGGCTCAGTAGTTGAACATCAGCCCATACACCAAGAGGTCACTGGTTCACTTCCCAGTCAGGACATATGCCCAGGTTGTGGGCCAAATCCCCAATGTGGACCATGCAAAAGGCGGCCAACTGATGTTCTCTTTCATCAATGTTTCTAACTCTCTCCCTCTCCCTTCCTCTCTCTCTAAACATAAAGGGGAAAAAATTTTTTTAAAAAACTCTCCTTCCTCTTTCTCTAAAAATCAATAAAGCAAAAAATAAATAATAAATAAATAAATAAATAAATAAATAATAAATAAATAAATAAAAAGCAAATGGACACCCAGTGCTCAGATCTTGATATTTTATACCATTCTCCAATAAAAAGAACCAGGGATCCTTGGAGAAATGGCTAATTCTAGGGATAGAGCAGAGAATATGAAGATGACCCTGGAGCTCTGGCCAGTTTGTCTCAGTGGTCAGAGCATTGGCCCTACAGACTGAAGGGTCATGGGTTTGATTCCCTGTACCTGGG